TAGGGTGCGGGGTGTATCGGTGTGTTACAGTCACGGGTGTGGGGTATAAACGTGTCCGCTCTCCCTCGTGTCCAGGAGCAGCGCGGGACCTTTCCTGTGACTCCGTGGTGGACGAGCATTTCCGTCGGAGCCTGGGCTGGGACTTCGGAACCCATTCTCTCGCCCCCAGCTCCATCTCCGTCTCTGGCTCTGTCGATGAACATTTTGCCAAAGCTCTGGGCGAGACGTGGCATTGGCTGCAGGGTGTGGGTGACTCTGAAGAAACGTCCTGCCAGCAAGAGGGGGCTCTGGCACAGGAGCCATCCGGCCTTTCGTAGACGGGCCCACGTGTATGTGTGTGGGCCGGCTTCGAGCAAATAGGATTTAGGAATTTCGCACAGCAAGATCCCACAGCCTCTCCATTGCTTGGGACAGATTTGCGTCTGTTCTCCTGTCTCTCTCCGCTCAACCAAAGTCAATAGTTGTCACGCTCAAAGCAGTGGATTACATGTCATGACTCCCTTCTCCGTGGCCCATGTTTCTCATTGCGAATGCTTGGCTGAGCGTCAATCGCTTGTACGGGTGCGGCTCCCACAACACAAGAGAAGTTCGACCCTGCCTAGGACAAAGCAGCCCCCAGCTCCATCGACACGCTACAAAACACACCCACCCCCCCCACCTTCGACTCTCACTCCCTCCACCACTGGCGCAGATGGTCCTGATGAGGAATGCTTGGCTGAGCTCCAAACGTTCACAACTAACAGCAGCAGTGTTTACCGACTACGAGACACACTGCAGCGACTCGCCCAGGCTCCTGCGACAGTACCTTCCAAACCCGACACCCTCTACCTTCCCACGAGGCCGAAGGCAGTTAGAATTTTCATCTGTCTTTCCAAATCTGTTCAGCCCCTCCACCCCCTCCCTATCTCTGTCATCTCCTCCAGCCCCTGCACCCCCATCACCCCCATCCTTAGCTGTCACCCACTCCCCATCTCTGTCTTTCCAATTCTATTGAGCCCGACTCCCCTCTCCCTATCTCTGTCACCCCCACCAGCCCCCTCCCTATCTCTGTCACCAGACTGACACAGGCCTCTGATCCCATTCGTTTCCAAACACAAACCCGCTCTCCTACTTGCGCCTGTACTTTTAAACACCCCATAATAGTCACCAAGACAGAGGGAAGTGTTCATTTTTAAAAAAAAACGTCAATCTGTTCAGACATGTGATGGGAAAATTCTGGTGTGCTGTCTCTATCCTACATCCCCAGGCACACGACCACTGACTGTGAGGCCTGAGGAGCCCCAAAGGATTTGTGAGACAGTTACAATTATAGTTTATGTGATTAAAGCATATTCTTTTCCAGACAACGTGAACTTTCTGTGCAACGTTACTGCAATACAGCGTCTCTCTCTCTTTCTCCCAAGACCAAGAGATAAGTTCACCCTGGCCAGTTCCTCGCTGTGTCCTGTGAGAGGGAACTGGGGTTGGGGTCCATCGGGACGGTGTAGAGCGGGAGTGAACGGGAAGGGGTTTGGGTCCATCGGGACGGTGTAGAGCGGGAGTGAACGGGTAGGGGTTTGGGTCCATGGGGACGGTGTAGAGCGGGAGTGAACGCGTAGGGGTTTGGGTCCATGGGGACGGTGTAGAGTGGGAGTGAATGGGAAGGGGTTTGGGTCCATTGGGACAGTGTAGAGCGGGAGATTACACAGGGATCAGTAAATGTGTCCAAAAATCTGGGGTCGGGACATGGAATGGAAGGAGTGGGATGAAGAACCAGAGGGGGAGACGGATCGAGGGGGAACGGGATAGAGAACCGGGGCGGGGTGGAGACGGCTTGAGGGGGAACGGGGTAAAGAACCAGAGAGGGTTTGAGGGGGAAATTGTTTTGGGTTGTTGTGACCTGGTCAGGGAAACAGAGTATAATTTGAAATTTCCAATAAGTGGAGGGAAATGGAGGGATACCTGAAAGGGGAAGATATTTGTGCCAGGTGGGGGCAGAGAGAGAGGAGTCGGGGTTGGGGGGGGGGGGGGGGGCAGGAAAGAGGGGGGGAAGGAGGGGGGGGAGGGGGGAGGGAAAAAAAAAAAGGAGGGGGTGGGGGTGGGTGGGAGACAGAAAGGGGGGACACTTTGGCTTGAATGGTGTGGGACCGTTCCACAACCCCCTACCAGTGGCTGACCCAGGAGCAGGAAAGGCGACGCCTACCACAGCCAAACAGCCGCCCACCCCGACAAGTCTCCAGCAGCCCCCACCCCATCACGAGCTCCGGGCCGTCCATCACCTGTCCGCCCGGCAGAGTCTCCTAACCACCCGCACCCTCGAGAGCGGAGTTTCTCTTGACGAGCATTCCACTCGGGCAGCGCACAGCAAGATCCCACGAGCTCTAAGCCGATTGCTGTTCAGTGCGGGGTGGGAAAAAAAATTGCCTGCAGCGGGGTATGGGGAATAACCACCCCTCTCCCCTCCACCCCAAAACCACCTCACTGCAAACACCTCCCCCCGCTAACTTTGTCAGCCTGAGACATAACTCACAAGACCGGGCTACACCCAACACACTGACCCTCCAACACGGCCTGCTCCCTGACAACGCCAAAAATCTGCAGAAATCAAAATATTCGCCAAATATTTCGCCGCCTGAGGGTGGCGGGGGGGGTGGTGCGAGAGCCACACCTTTTCCTGTCCTGGAAACAAGCGTACCATTCAGTTCTGAAATTTAAATTTGGCATCGAATGCTTTACTGTGCATTCTGCCAAAGATCCCGTCCCAGCCCTTTCGCGCAGTCTTGAGGCAGCAACCCCATGATGCCTGGCAGCCCCCATTTCTGAAGAAGGCTCCCGACTCCGAAACGTCAGCTTTCCTGCTCCCCTGATGCTGCCTGGCCTGCGGTGTTCCTCCAGCTCCTCACTCTGACTCCAGCATCTGCAGTTCTTACTGTCCCTGCCTGTAGATTGTCCTTCACCATTCGGCTCGGCCTCGATCCCGTTCTCTTTAACATGTCGCCGACTGGAAACCTGTCTCTCTGAGGGTCTGTTCCCGTGCCGTGTGACCCTTCCGCCCATCCAGTCCGTGCTGACCGCAATCCCAAACTAATCCAGTCCCACACCTGCTTGCCCCATGTCCCTCCAAACCATTCCTATTCATGTACTTATCCAAATGTCTTTTACATGTTGTACCTGTACCTGCATACTCCACTTGAAGTTCATTCCACACACAAGCTACCCTGTGTAAAAAGTTCACCCCTCATGTCTTTTTTCAAATTTCTCTCGTCTCACAATAAAAATATACCCGTTATAGTCTTGAAAACCTCCACCCTAAGGAAAAGATGACTGCCATTAACCCTATCCACGTCCCTCATGATTTTATAAGCCTCTCTATAAAGGTTGCCTTTCAAATTCCTACACTCCAGTGAAAAAAAGTCCCAGCCTCTCCTTATAACTCAAACCCTCCATTCCCAGCAACATCCTGGTCAATCTCTCCCGAACCCTCTCCAGTTTAATAATATCCTTCCTATAACAGGTCGACCAGAACTGGACACAGTGCTCCAGAAGAGGCCTCACCAACATCCCTGTACAACCTCAACGTGACGGCCCGAACTCCTACACTCAAAAGGGCTGAGTGATGAAGGCAAGCGTTGTACGGACCTCGATTGGCAGGGGGGTTTGCACGCGCAAAAATGTACTATCTCTTTTCACAAAACATGACCCACCCCCCCTCCCTGCATCTCTGGAATCAAATTGACGGAAGCTCCCCTGAATAGCCTCCGACATAACTACGTCCCTCAGGAATCGAAACCGGGGAAAGTTTGGCGGTCTTGCAAGTGCCTTAGGAGTGGGAGTGTATCCATAAAGACAGCAAGTTGTAGACTGTGTCTCAGACAGCGAACGTGCTTGTCTGTGTCTGGTCAGGAAGTAGCGGCGGGTACGCGCAAGGCACGCTGAGGGTTGGGCATAGATGGACTCAAGTGAAGCTGCATGCCTGGGCTGATACCAACCAAACAGGCCACAGGCAGCGGCTGCGGTGGGGTGGGGGGTGGGAGACGTCAGCACCGACAAAGTGTCAACAAGGGTGCACCTCCCTGCAGGGATTGGCGGAGACTGGCACCACCCCCCCACCCCCAATTCCTGCCCGCTGTGCAAGACACAACATGCCCACAGCCGCAGCCTGATTCATTCCAGAGACAGGAACTGCCAGGAGAGGCGAGGGGTGTGTGTCTGCGTGCGTTAACCCTGTTGTGGTATGCTAGTCAGAGCCAATGGTGCTTTGTATGTTCGCTGCTGCCCCTCAGGGAGCAGGACGCTGTCGGAGGGTCGGCGCCGAGGGAAGGGGGGGTGCCACCGGAAGGTCAGTGCTGCCACTGCTGGAATCCCAGGACCTAGCACCAAGGTGATGGGCATAATGCCCCCCCACCGAAGCCTCTGCAATGATGGATGTGGACTGTGAGAGAGAGAGAGACGAAGCGAAGCCAGGAGTAGAAAACGTGGTTTATTAAAGGGCTGGAAGACCCAGGGCCCACA